TAACGGCCGGAAAGAACCGGTGGGGGACATTGTTGAAGACCGACTATAGAGGATGATGAATAGGCTTCTTTAGTTTGTTTTGTATGAGTTGCAGCATTACTTGAATTAAGGGTTACTAATGGGGTCTGATTAACTGCCTCTTTCTCTTGAGCCCAATCTAGAACCTACATTTCGTATTTAGATCTATAAGTGAACTGCTGGTCTGAGTTCCTGTGGTATAGGGTTAACTACCCCATTTCCGGCCTATCAAGCACAACCCGCACTTAGTCTTTCTTAATCTAGCGTAGTTTAGCACCAAACGGAATGTTATTATTACTGATGGCTTCCAAATTTATTTACCTTTCCGTACGTATCGTAAGATTTGATAAAGAGAAACAAATTGTTGAGATATTGTTAAAACTCTAACACTGTTTCTTGACGCCAAACTCGGCCTACGGATTCTAAACTCGGCCTACGGATTCTAAACTCGGCCTACGGATTCTAAACTCGGCCTAACGCATTGAAACGCCATTGAAACGCAATGAATTTACTTCGGCCTATCGTATGAAGATAAAGATTGATTCGGTCGGAGCGCAGCATTTGTATTTGAGAATATTGGGTGCAAACATTCAAATCACGCGATCCTATTAACTTCATTTGGTAGCATTTGAACTAAAGTATCTTACCAAATGCATAATTTATCTGTTATCGCCGAAATCATGGATTTATTTGATGTTTTTTGCTTGATAGGCCCAAAATGGGTCTTAGGCCGGAATAGCATGTTCCTGAATATACAGTCAAACAGCACGTAATGTTGTGCACAACTTCTATGACAGTTATCCAGTGCTCCCATTTTAATTACAACAATCCAATGTCTACGAAATTGTGCCGAAGGTGTGCCAAAGGTATGCCGAAGGTGTGCCGATGGATGTGCTCAAGCTGTGCTAAGTGACTTACCCCTTGGTGAATACACACTTAAATATAATTTAGAATAATTTCAAGTTGATTACAAAAGCGTAGAAAGGATTCGAGATTGAGAAAAGCAAGTCTGGAAACCTTTCGAAGTCTCTTTTGGAAATTACAAATCCTGGATCATTAATTTATTTAACCTATGGGTTGTCCACACACCGCGTGGAAACTTTAGGGGCGGTTACCAAATGTTCACGGTGAATATAACTTTCATAGATAAAAATTCTGAATTTTAATTGTGATGTAAACATTCATTCACGTAAACTTGTATTTCATTTCACGCAACCGAGCAACTTGTAAACAAACAATATTTGCTACATTGCATGAAATGTGTCAGAACTTTACATGATATATAATGTAAACGTATATGATATGTGACCCTCCATTTATGTGCATCATATTGAACTGAAATTTACACTACTTTTTCGAACTGTGTTGTTTTAATATATGAACGATTGCTCATGCAGAGGGAGGGGGGTCTAAAACCGTTAAAAAACTGTTAGTGTGGTATATAGACAGTAAGGTGGCTCAAAATATCGATTTTGCTCCACCAGACTCAATCGATTCTAAATCATTCTCCTAAAATTTGAGCTTATTTGGATGTGAACTCATACTGCATTGGTTCTTTGAAGTATATATGAGGACACACTGGATGTTTGTTGAGAAAAATATTGCTCTCAAATTGTAATTTTACATTGTAATACCTGTTATTGGTTGAAAGGTACAGTAGCAGCACTTCTCCTACCCGGTTATCCTTGAGATCGTTAAGTTGACGATGACGGAAGCATAGACAGTGGTAGAGGAAACCAATAGCTGCAAATTAAAAAATAAAACCATCGACTTGAGTGTGTAACAATCGTTAGAACTGTAACCGGAGGTACATGAGCGAATCAGCGATCATTCATTTTGCCAATGGTGGTGAGGAGAAACACCCCTCACCACCTCTCATCAACTGAGGAGTTTGGCAAAGGGAATGCTCGATCCGATTCGTCCCTTCCTTTGCTCGCTTTCCAATTTCTATATACAATTTTCACACTGCCCTACTATAACGGAACTATTTATTCTATACTTTCATCTCCGTCGTATAAAATGTTCACTTTATGTCTGGTATTGACGTTATTGACATCTCGAACTATGTAAATCGTTAACTTCACGAATGAAGTAATAAAAAAGTGATTAGTAAATGAATAAGTGTTCTATGATACCATGCTATACAATCGAATTATGGTTCGGTGTTCCAAATTGTGTTAATCTGCTTTAGATCTAAAAAGTTGAAAAACATTATTCTATGTATTTTGATTTGAACTGTTAAGGCGCTTAAGCTTTGATTAAGGATGGTGCGTTTGCTAGTATCCAAAAAAACATCGCCAAAATCTTCACCATTTGAAATAGAGACCTTCACCTAAAATTTGAGAACTTTTATGGAATAATTTTTGACATTTTCAATTTTTTTTTAAGAAAAATTTAAAACTTTGAAATTATGATAATACTGTTTTGTTAACATCATTTGATTAATTTTTCCAATATTGTTAACTAAATAACGTGTAAAGACTGATTGAAATTCAAGCAATCAGGATTGCTTTCATTGACTTCGCAAAATCGATAATTGTGACTATCTGAAATTGACAGGTTTTAAGTGTTAAACACATACTTCACAACCTCTTCTTGTAACTTAAAAGTACAAAATATCATTATATCATGAAAGCAACCCTGCAAGCAAGTTTTTAGCAGTTTCGGACTAAAACATACGGAGTCATATAAAATAATCTAAAGGCTTTGTTTGTCGTAAAACATTATCGAGTAAGACGTGAATAATGACTATGCTACTATGCAAAGCATCTCAACACTACCCGTCTGAACATTTGGGATGGATTTTCATTCACTATATTTAGCCCACAGCGCCAGTATCCCAGCGTGACAGTAAATCTACTGCAGTACAACAATGTATCCAACTGACATCCTGGCGTGCAGTTCTACCAGCAAGCTATTTGATTTGCTCTTGTAAGCAACCGTGGGAAAAAACTCCTTTTGGCAGCCGGTCAAATCTGGCAGTCAGAATGAGTGTATAAGAACGATGGCGATGGCTTTACATTATCAACTTGTGTGCACGAGTTATAAAGCTCTTCGTTTATTGCCATGTTTCATCGACAATGACAGATGCTTTTCGTGTCATCCGGTTTTTCCTATCATCCCGTGCTTGTATGTACGATGTAACCCATCTAGAGAAGATATATATGAGCAACTACTGAAATGAAATCATAGGAAAAGAAGTAATGGCTAGGGCACTATGTTACAAGGATAGGAAATGACAACAGGGATACTTCTGCTATCTACTGACGATGGCCAACGACGATGGGAAGCGGAAATCTTCAGGAAATGTCCGTAGTCTTCCTCAGCTGGAGCCATAGTGGAACAACAAAGGTTTACCATGCTAGAGCAATTTAGCTGATTGAATGTTTAATACCATAAATCAGGATGAAAACTTTAAGCATTCGCAGCCGAATGTCAAATATTGCTTGACGTGAGTTGGAAGCCAGCTTCCGGGGGATGATTGCTTTACAATAAAAGGGGACGCTTGATCATTCTCTATTCTTTCGAAATTCATATGGGATTTTTTAGGGCAAGTTGCCAACAAGTTTCGTCTAAAGGGAAGGTAATGGTATACTGACATTTTCTTAGAAAGTTTATATTTATGAAAGTAGCCTATAATAGCCTATAGTATAACTTCACAAAATTTCCATAATTCAAAGCTTTGAATATGTAGAATCATTTGTTGTGTTTCTTTTGATCTTTCGTTAAGTATGATTTGAAGTTCAAAACTCAGTTAATGAAGACTTGATCCCCCATGTCGGCCGCTCGAGATTATTGCAAACATTTCATATAAAAGATCCCTAAGCCCACTCTCCCTTGTTAACATACAAACATGTCATCTCTTTTAATTTTTCGACATCTTTCAGAAAACACGTACTTTTGAGAATTTATGTATATACAGAGAGGTACCGTTGTTTGCGGATGGCATTTTAGAGGGTATACTTATTTCTAGATTTCTTGAGACCTGGTTTTTGATTTGGATATCATTTGCGGTCAGTATTCTTACTATCAGGTTAGACAGCTAGAAATTTGAAAAAAAGGAATACCAGCTAAAAGTCCATCCGCAAACAACGATACCTCTCTGTATCACTTTGGAGGCTTTAGAGCATTTGTAATGTAACACAAGATGTTTCCCTAATAGACTGTGCAAACACCGCATCAAATTTATTTTTTTTCCACCGAGGTATACTCATAATTAAAACAGGGGATCAAGTGTGTCCACTCTCCCCTACGAGTCCATTCGATCATTAAAAAAAAAATCGTAGAAGTTCCAATCAGAGCAGAATTAAATTCAAATTCAATTGAGTGCACAATTAGATGGAAAGTCTAGCGCCAGCCAACAAAACAACTGCATGAATTCAATAAACATTAAAATCCAGCAAGGCGTGCATGGTAAGTGCGGAGATAAATCAAACTTCTTCCGCAATTGCAAAAATCAATCACGTCCCATTTAACTTTCGCCATCGGCTGTGAATATTGATTACGTACAGATCTGTGCGGATTTGATCTGGACAGCGGCATCTCTAGAATGACTGTTGCAAAAATTAACGTTTACTACTTCAACTTTCTGGGCGATAAAATGTCCTTTCGGCAATCGTAAAACTAACAGTCAATGGATAGTAAAATTTTATGCTAATGTTCGAATCGCTACTGCGCTGCTGGCTTTAAACTTGACCGGGCGCTGCTCCGACGTCGAGATTTTGCCATTTGGATAACAATACAAGTAAACTGCGTGACCATCATTAGGCGAAGGCCGATAAGAGTGGGTTCTTGTTACTCTTGATATCGGCGTCAGGGACAAGCACAGTAATATGAATGGGAGCCGGTGATAAGCGTGAAAATTTCAATGGCAATTCCTGATGTGAATGGAAGAATTATGAATGAATGGCTGTCGTCGATTCTGTTTATGCAATGCATCACGAGAGACTAACAATCTTTTTATTATTGTTTTCTATTTTCAGAATGGCTTTGTGGAGTGTGAACCGGAAAGCTGTCCAGCTGTGGACGATTGCTATTTGTACAACAAGAAGGCTCCCGGGAGGTGCTGTGATAAGTGTGTAGGTAAGTTACAAGTGGCGGTTTGTTAAAAAATTCGTTGCTTTTGGCAGTTTTTATCTCGATCGATTATTGTCAGAATTACCATGCTTATTTTTAAAATTATAGTAGTTTGTAGAATTTCTGGTACCTTGACAAAGAAAATATCTCTTATGCCAAACGTTATGAAAAAAGGAATGCTTCAGCTATATATTACCCAAGTAGAGTATCAAATCAATAGCAAGTTTTACTATTGAAATAGGGGAACATAACATCAAAAATTGCTATTAGTTTTATTGATATAAGAAGTAGAATTTTGTTTAAAATTAATCAATTTACTTACCTTACCAATCAGGTTAAGGCCTTGTTGTCCTCTGCTGTCCAAAGAAGACATCTCCACTCTACTCGATCCATGGCCACACTTCGCCAGCCTCGTAGTCTGCGAAGGGTCCGCAGGTTGCCTTCTACTGGTGAAGTTCGTCATTGATTAACCTATCGCAGCCCTGGAAGCCGAGCGATTTTCAGTTCCATGTTACGAGTTTTCAATCGTAGTCCTTATTTCGTCGCGTAGGTCTGTGCCGATTGTTCCGATCCGTATTTCTTTCTTCAATATTTGTAACTTTATGTTTTTTTTCAGGGCCTAAGCCGTTGGGCCTAATCAATTTAATAACCGATTAATAGATTATTCTGCTATCGGATCAAAATTATCTCTTAAATTCGTGATAGATATCATATCAATAGCAAAATGTTATTACTAATATCTTACTAAGTTATTGATAGTAAAATTGAATATTATTTTGCTCTGGTTTTGCTATTCCTCTCTATCGGGGAAACCATAACTGGATCATGCCATAACTAGTACATTTTTCAAGTATCAAATTTATCACGGTTTATCGTAAATATCGAAACAAATTTCTACAAAAAGTATATTGGTATTAAAATCAGTAGCTATCATTCTACAGTATTACTTATCATATCGGGTGCTTTATTTATAGGGCATACCTGAAATTTCAACTTTGAAAATGTCGGTGTGTAAAATTTATCAGACTCTCAAATTGCTTCTCAGTGCATTCGTAGCAAATGTGATTCATGAACTTGGGTTCACAGAATCCGTATCAGAAGCTAGAATCATTCTGTGAGGTGAATTTTTAGCAAAAAATGCAAAACAGTTTTTGTATGCATACAGTTGCACTTAAATGTAGCCAATTTATTTGGAAATCAGTAGAAATTTCACGGATTATTTGGAACTTTTTTTCCATAATTTATTATATGACTCAAATTCAGTGACGCTTGATTAAGTCAATAAAACAACGTTCAACCTAATCAAAACATTGACCGTCAGTAGAATGAAATTTAATTTTAAGCCGAAAAACTTATTTATTCGTGAGAAAAACTTATACAAACTATCATTGGAGTACTGTGATGAAATACAATAAAAATTTCTAGCGGTGTCGGTACTGAGCATGATTGCCTCTCATTCCACATGGCCTGGGTTCAATCTCTGATCACGCCTTCCAAGTAAAGGGAAGTAAAGCCGTTGGTCCCCGCTCCATGAGTTGATGGGGCGATCGGTAGAGTCCAGGCGGGGAGCCTGTCTTCCTGGCGTCGGTAGCATTAGTACCCAGTACGGAAAACAATTCAAGAGAAAAACATATAAAGAGATCTTCTGATATTTATCACCGGAAAAAAACGGAAGGCATTATGATCAATTTGCCCTCGAATCACGTTACCTATAAAATGAATCCAGTTACTCTTAAATTGGTGGACCAGTTTCTCAAAAAAAAAAAATTATTATTCAAAAATTCAGCAATGCGAACAAAAAATATGCTTGAAATTATCGTTTCGGAAAAAGATCATTTATTCATATTAGAGGACCCTCCCCTCTTTCGTCGCGTTTTTCCTATTCCTAATGTATTGCCGATGTATTTATCACAAACCCCTTCCACCCCTTCCATGGATATCTCGATTGATTTACATACAGCCAACTCTCCACAACTCAAAATTCTATAATTCTATAAATTCTATATTCATATATTTTGTATATTTCGATGGATTCAGCTATCCCTGCATTTGTCCATGCATCGTACTCTCCATAAGTCGATATTTCCACATGTCGATGCCCCCTTCGATCGATGATCTATGTAGTGTTATTTTGATTCTTTAATGTGGTTCGCTGTGAGATCCTTATTCTCACTACCACTTCAAAACTTTAGGTGCACAAATATAAGCTTCCACGACACGAGTTTTGTGTAATTGAAAATTCGAGGTCGATGTGCATTTATAGCCTATGTGCCGGCCATGTGTTAAATCTACGAGTATAACGTGATTCGATAAGTGAGTTTCTGAATTTAGTGATTTTGATGTTGAAATCAATGGGAAACATGATAACTGGTGGGCATATTGAGTATCCAGAACACATTGGCCATATCAGAACTTGATTCTGTTGTCCGTATCTTTTATTTATACCAAAGTCTAGCATGAGGCAAATCATACCGGCAGAGAAGTGATCAAATACATTTTATACAACAACAACAATAATACAACACCCATTGTGCCTTAGATCAAATCTCATGACTTTAAATGATTAAACCATTTCCAGGATTTTTTTTGGTGACATTGGGGCAATTTTACAAAACCTATTATAAACCAGAACCTTTCTAATGTCTTATGTCTAATGTAATACAAACGCAGCCAGTACGAGAGAGCATCCTGGAAAATGATCAGGTTAAATGAGGTCTAATCTTTTTCCTTGTCTAATTGATGTTTACAGCATATTTGAGATATGATATAAACATCAATACGGGGTGGAAGGATGCGTGGACATACCGTACCAAACGCTCCGAGTTACTATGTGTAGTTGTGTAAATATTTGTACAATATTGAAGAATCATAAAATAATGCAATTTATTTTATTTCGTCAACCAACGTAGACTAGTACATATTCGTATGCAGTTTTGTTTACTTAAAGGGCGAACACGAAATTATTGCGACACATTCAACAGGGCATAACTTTTTTACCATTGGGTAAAAATCAACCAAATTTTGCACACTTTCTCATTGATGTGTATTGTATACATGCTGTCAAACTCGAAGTCGTGTTTCTCGATTCAACGAAAATGGAGGTGAACCAACGCGAGTTGAGAGAACAAATTCTTTCCAAACACCTGGAATTTCCTGACCTGTCGCACCGGCAGTTGGGAAAAATGTTGAACATTCACCATTAAACCGTCTCCAGAGTGTTGAAGCGCTTCCAGGAGCGGTTGACGTTGGACCACGGCAAAGGAGCTGGAAGAAAACCGGGACCGGAGAACAAAACGACGGAGGGAAAGGTGAAGCGGATGATTAAAGCAAATCCCAACGTCTCAAGCCGTGATTTGGCTAAAAAGATCGGCATGTCGCAGAGCTACGTCCAGAATGCAAAGAAGAGAGCTGGACTACAAACATACAAGGTACAGAACTTTCCAAACCACGATGAGCGGCAACAATCGACGGCTAAAACTCGGCACGGAAGCTCTACGAGAAGATGCTGACAAAATATGGCTGCTGTGTGATGGACGACGAAACGTATATAAAAGCCGATTTTAAGCAAATTCCGGGGTTGGAGTTTTTCACCGGCAAGAGCAAGTTCAAAGTGACAAAGGGCGGGATCTACAAATCTGAGTGCCTCGAGAAGCGCCTTTTGCCGTTCTTGCAGCAGCACGACGAAGCTCCGCTATTTTGGCCAGATTTGGCATCAAGCCACTATTCTAAAAGTGTCCTGGAGTGGTATGAGGCCAATTCTGTCCATTTTGTTCCAAAGGACATGAATCCGCCAAACTGTCCGGAGCTGCGTCCGGAGCAGTACTGGGCAATAATGAAGCGGGAACTTCGGAAGAGCAAGAATACAGCCAAAGACGAGAAGGACATGTTAAGAAAATGGAAAAAAAAAACTGAGAAACTGGTACCGGATGACACTGTAAAGACTTTGATGGAGGGCATCAAGCGAAAATGCGTTCAATTTTACACTCAAGGCTCCATCGATTAACTTTTCTTTTGATTTTTGAAGTAAATATATGTATAAAACTACCCTAAAATTTTGGTTTGATTCTAAACATTATAAGAAAATTAGCATGACATTTTCGGTGTCGCAATAATTTCGTGTTCGCCCTTTAAATGTATTTATTTATCTATTTCGTCAACTTTGGAAAAGAGGTTAAAAGTATAATTTTGTCTTTAATAAACATTGAGCAGTGTCAGCTTTCCTATTTTTTATGAGTTTTAATGCCATGAGTGGAGTAAAAATATTGTTTAAGTTTATGCCGAGACATTGTAAAGTCAATGGTTTCGCAGTACTGATTGTAAGAGGCCATCATGCGGTTTAATGGCCCATATCCAAATTCCGATTTCGAACTTGCCGAGTAGGTACATGGAAATTTAATTTTGATAAAAGTTCTGTGGAGTTAATGCACTTCGAAACGATATCGTTTACAAATGAAACCATTGCATATTCACGACGCTCTTTTAATGTTTGTATGTTTATAAGCATGCAGCGTGCTTCATATGATGGAAGAGGAAATGATGTCCAACCTAATTTACGAAGAGCGTATAATAGAAATTGTTTTTGTACGGATTCTAATGTTTCTTCGTGCGTGATTGAAAAAGGAGACCATACAATGCTGCAATATTCCAGTATTGACATCACATAGGCAATATATAGTGTTTTAATTGTGTATGGGTCCTGAAAGTTATAGCAAAAGCGCTTGATAAAGCCTAGCATGTTATTTGCCCTGTGAATAATTGTGTTGTAATGGTATATGAAAGTTAGCTTAGAGTCTAAGATAATTCCTAAATCCCTAACTCTTTCACAGTTTTCTACATTTTGATTTCCTAGTGCAATTGAAATATTTGAAGTTACTCTTTTCCTGCTAAATGATATTAAGTTGCATTTTTTACGTTCAATTCTAATAGACTTTTTTTGCACCATATAATATGTTTATTTCATTCGGGAAGATATTGATGTCTTCTTCATTTCTTATTTCCAAAATGAGCTTCATGTCACCGCTATAAATAAGCAATTTAAGTGTTTTGAGAATTGAAGAAATGTTGTTTACGTATAGAATAAAAAGAAGAGGTCCCAAATGAGAGCCTTGGGGGACGCCTGAAGTGACTTGATTTGGACTAGATTTCTTTCCGTTGAATTTTGTTGGCGGTTAGTTAAATATGATTAAAGCCATTTTAGAAGCCCTGACTCAATTCCAATTTTTTGCAATTTAAAAAGTAGCATTGGTATGTCAATGCGGTCAAATGCCTTGCTGAAGTCTGTATAGAGAGCTTCTACGTGGTTTCAATTATCCATTGCATTCAATGAATAGTCTATAAATTCAAGTAAATTTGTCGAGATCGAGGTCGATTTAAAGATAGGCACTAGGAATGAGCTTTTCCAAATTTTTGGAAAGGTTCCAGATTCCAGGGACATATTAAAAAGCCAAAACAATGGAGCAGTGAGTTCCATTGCTAGACATTTAATAAATACTGGAGGAATTCCGTCAGGTCCAGAACCTTTTGAGGCATCTACATTTTTTAAAGCCTGCAAAATATCCTGCACTTGAAGTTGATTAAGATAATTGCCAATGTCCCTCGAAAATTCTGGGAAAAATACAAAACAATCGTGGTCGCGATCTTCTTCAGAAAATGAAAAGAAAAAATTTTGCAGATTGCCGTTTTTTCCGAGCTATCACCTACGTTTTCGTCGAGATGCATTATTGAAGGAACATTGTCAGATTTTAATTTGGGTTTTACCGAAGACAACAAATCAAGAAGACTGTCAACTCTTCCATTTTCCCATACGAACGCTATGAGACAGGTACAATCGCGTCATCTGCCGCTCAAAGGTAAATGCTTCGAACGAATTTGATAGCAAAGATTACATCCTCAGAAGAAGGGTTTGTGTATTTGCTCATTTTTCTATGCGTTGTTTCCACCTTCACTCAAGCGCAGCGCCATTGTATCTGTCGCTTGGATTCTGGCAAAGTTGCCAGTCTTCTTGATTTGTTTTCTTCGGTTTTACATAATTAAAGAAGCTCTTTGGAGAGGACTTTATTTCATTTTGTTTTGCATTAAAGTCTTCAACTGCAGTACTAATAGCTAAATTCAGTTGATCGCATATATCCAAATAAATTAATAGATTATTACTACTATTGTGTTTTTTTTTTATAAATTTTATGTGCTTTTTGCTTCCGATTTTTCAAGTTTTTTATTTATCTGTTATACCAGATTGGATTTTGTGTGTTTCTGTTGCGTCTTTTTTTCTTCAAAGGAATTTCTTCCGAAATTATTTCTGTTAAACATTTGTAGAACAAGTCTATACCAATTTCGAAATTTCCTACATTCCTTAAAATTAATTGCCAATTGACACTGTATGATTTAAATAAATTTTTTTCGTAGTCTGCTAATTTGTATTCAAAGACTTCTTCGAATTCGCAGTCGTTGGGTCTTTAGTTTTCATGCACAAATAAAGAATATTCAATTTCTGTGTGAAACGCTTCATTTTTCCACAGTGGATTTAATGATTCGGTCACACAGAAATCTTCATAAATATTCGTTAGTAAAAAATTCAAATACCAATTTCGTTGGTTTTTTATGTGGTTAATTTGGTTCAGTCCTAAATTAGCAGTTTTGTCAAAAATGATCTGCAATGTTTTACTATCCCCAACGGCTGGGAGTAAGATACATAAGAAGGCTTCATAAGTGCTTTTATGAGCATGGTCTGGTGGAAAATACACTGAGGCGAACACGTGCGTTTCACCGTCTATGTGCGATTTCACTTAAATTTGCTCAAATTCTGTAGAATTAGGTGTAAAGATGAGTTCTGAGTTAAAATTGGCCGAAAGAGCTATAAGTACTCCACCGCCTGACTTCTTCTGAGTTGCATGAAAATTTCTATCGGCTCTGAATGCATTAAAGGCATTTCCAAAGATTTCTTCACTTTTCACGCTTTTGTCCCAGCTTGTTTCAGTTGCCAGAATGACCGAGAAGGACGAGCATTATAAATTTTGATAGATTTCGTTCATTTTAGCTGGCCTTTTCGTGCGATTGAAATTTTGACAGTAAATCACAATTTCAGTCGCATTCTGTTTAAGTGAAGAAATTGTTGAAAGTACGTCGGTTAATAAAAAATGTTCATTATTATTATTATTTACCTCTTTCTCGTCGAAAGGAGTCATTGCTTCCGAAAATTTGGGTTGTTAAGATGACGGTAATAGATTCCAAGTCATCAGATGCCGCCTGTTTTGGTACACCATGTTCTTCATACACCTCGAAAAAGATTTTCCGAAGTTCCTCCGCTGAAGTCGGTAGTCCTTTGGATGGCAAATTAATTTTGATGCTAATATTTGTCATTTGCCGGCGCCGGTGGTGTAGTGGTAAGCGTGACTGCTTTCTAATACCCCGATGGGTCTGGGTTCAATCCCAGCCGAGGTCGGTGGGATTTTTCTGAGGCATAAAAATATCTGGTCACGTCGTCCTTCGGAAGGGAAGTAAAGCCGTTGGTCCCGGCCCATGTATGTTGAATGCGTGCGATATCCTACGCAGGTGTGGAAGCTGCCTTCCTGCACATTCGATTGCCGTCAATGGATGGCAATCGATGTCCGTCGGTGATTGGCACTAGATTGCGGAACAGAGACCGACGTTAAATAAATAAAAAAAAAAAATTGTCATTCCTTCATGGCAAAACGATGGCTCCTTGTCATGCATATATGCCAAATAAAGGCGAACGATGTACATTATTTTTGTGTCCCGTAGTCGTGCTTTCAGGAAACGCCCGTCCCCATCAGCTGATTGTTGCGTCAAGCTTACGATGGGTGGGCGCATAGGCTCGAGTGACCATCCAGAAGTTGTATTTGATTCCAGAAGTGATGACGGCGTTTCAGTCTTATTGTTGTATTGTACCTGCTTTTCTGTTCGGTATTGGTTGATGGTTTCAAGTTGATAAACTTTGGGACCGAGAGGGCTGCAATTGGGTGGTCGGTGGTCAATGGCGGACCAGCAAATTGTACTTTAGCTGTGGCCAGTAGTTGCTTGTCCGATCCCTGGACGATGTTTTTGGTACTGCTGGTGTGGATTTGTTGTTGTTTTCGTCGTTTTCTGCTCCGTTTGGCTTTTCCAGCAGCTTTTTCCTGCAACCTGCGAGTCCGTTGTTTTGCGTCAAATTTAGACCAGTCCTGCTTCCAGTGCCATTTATTGCCTAAAAACCACCATCCAGGAGATGAATGGTCAGTTTTTGGAGATATTTTATTGTTGTGTACTGGAAGACTTTCAGCTAATTCTTCCTCCAAGGTCTTCTGATGCGGTTCTGCAGCATTTATCTGAAGACTAGAAACAGCCCCAGATACAAATTTACTTCCTCAAGAATTTCCAGAAGTTCTGGACGATGGATGACGATGATGAGGTAATTATTCGGCCCCTTTTATTGATAGTGCCATGTCATTTGATAAGCTTGATAGCCGTTCGTCAAATATTTTTGTAATTTTTTGTGACATCAACGAATTTGATTCGTTGATGCCGGTTATTAAATTTAAGTAAACTAAAGAAGAAAAATCTATACAACTCTCTAATAAGGAAAATCCCGAAGGCTTGGTAGCCATCATAATGAAGTAATAAAATTGGGTTGTTAGCGGAATGCTTAAATAAAACAGCAAAATTTACCACGACATCACTAATTGTAAACCGGTATTTTGGTAATGTATTTTTGGCCGGTATCACCGGTTTTCAGTATCGGTATTACCGAGATTGAAACCCTTATTTTTGGCAATACAATAATTAAAATTTTATAAAAATATTCTTAAATGATATTACTTCAAAAGTTACGCAACATGTGACTACGAAATCTCGTTGCATTGTATTTCTTTGAAATTGGTCCATTGGCATGGCCGCATTATCTTGCATTATCGCCAGAATTTTAACCCATTCTGTAATTCTTCTATTTCAGGCTGCCTACACGAAGGTCGGATGATAGACAGCGGCACCGAGTGGACTGATCCGGACGATCCGTGTGAACATTACAAATGTGTGTCCGGTGTGATAACGCGGTCACAAATCAAATGCTACACCCCTTGCTCGAATCCTCTTCCGTTGAAAAATGGCCAGTGCTGCCCGGTATGTTTAGGTGAGTAAGTATATGAAGCATTTTTTTTCCATCGAAATCCACTTCCATTGGAGAAGAAGTGCTCTTTCATCATCCCGCATTCCAATGGCCTATCGAGGCCACCCATCTGCAACGATTAGCTCGTTTCAATCGTTGGCATCTCAATTTAAGTAGCCATTATCAATTCTTTAACGAATCGATTAACCAACTCATTATAATCAAATTAGCTTCCAATAAAGAAGATCTTCTGAAAAGGGGCAAGCGGGAATCCACGCTGGATCGTGTGCTCTTGTTTTGTTTTCTTCACTTCTCCCCTTTCCGTTATCCAAATTTTTCATGCCGGCATGTTTCCATGCTCATGTCAGTTGAATATCGATTGAAAAAGCCTGATAATTACATGATCATCTTTCATCCTCTATTAGCTCTGCTTTCGTTATGTTCGGTCAATCGGTGAATTCTTGTGAGAATGCCGCTGGCGCTGCGGGGTTATGTTCATCTCGTTTCTCACCGATGATTTATGATACAATATTAGGTATACGGTCCTCGTCGGGGTACACAGCAACATCATCATCTTCATCGTCTTCATCAACATACGCCGGCTACGTGGGAGTTCCGGGCTCTACTTCAAGTGCGCGCGGCAAAATCGGTTCCAAATCGTAAAACTGTCTATCGACCACCGCCATAAATTAGGTGAACCCGATTCGATTAACCTTTACCGAACTTCTGAAATTGTTGGCTAAATAAGCTTCGTCCACGAGCACCTCCCCGGATGCAAATATAGAAATTTTTGAGCATAATCACATAATTTGGTTGGAGGGTTTGCTTGTTTGCCGGAGATTGATGCCAACGGTGACGATGGAGACCCTCGGAATTATTCCAACGAAGACCCATCCTTTTCCCATCAATCGTTAGTGTTGTTGGACGAAACCATTAAATTTGTAATGAGCCTAACGCTGTATACGTGGTGAACACACACGCGGTTCACCTTTCTGCCTTTCGCACCTTGTTGCTCCAAAACCTCCAGCGAATGTGCTCCGAAGAGCCACGCGGATCCATTTGACCGACCAACTGACGAATCGCCCGGCCGGCCGGCATCTCATTAATACACATGTGTTTTTATGTTGATAATTTTTTGATTTACTGCTGGTTGGGTGGTCAAAACATCTACCACGAGATCCCGGTGTGAGCGTAAAACACGGCGGAGATGTGGCTCGCAAATTGACGACCGGCGGCTATTGATTTTTGTTATTATTCATATCTTCGTGCGGTTAGTATGGCATGGCATGGCCAATTTTCAGGCCTTCTCTTTTTCGCTTTGATTGGACAGGACCACCAGAACTTACTGCATGATTTTTCGATGAACTGATTACAGCGGGGAAAATCAATGTCACAACAGATTGTTGTGTTGTTTATATAATTTGATTCTTTACACGAGAGCATCCATTTTGATCTCATCGTTTGGGACATTGAAGCATAACTTCAACCAGGAAGGTTATTATACAGCTTTGTTTTTAAAGATTTTTTTTATTCCTTAATAGTTCAACGCATATTCGGATTGTACAACATTGTCGTTGGATTTTCATTTCAAGCTTGAATTCTGTAAGATGGACCTAGTTTCAGGAAAAACCTCTGTGTGCCTTTTAATTCATTAAATCACACTCCTACGAGCAATTTCACTATGCAGTATTTAAAATGAGTAAAATTTAAAGAATTACGTTTTGGAAAAGACTGTTGACGATGCAAAGTTTCACAACCACTTATCGTGTATAATATTAAAAATATGTACATATTTTATTCATCTATACACACCAAAATTTTCCGAATCAGAAACAATCAATTTATCTCAATTTTTCTACCAATCCAATCCCTCTAACAACTTAATAAAACAAATTATTCATCACTTCTCTAACACGGTTGGGCCTCTTGACCGCGAAGTTGAAACTTTTTTCCCATTCATTATTGTTCCACATGGCCTTTCTGGCAGTGCAGCAATAGTCAGCAGGCGTCCAGCCCTATCCTATCGGCAGTTGTAGTGAGTTGTTATTAGGTTTTTGGGACCCGATCTGTAGACAAGAGATGGTGGTGGTGGTGGTGGCATACCAAAATGAATCACCTCAACAGATTCGATCGAATGTCGTCATGGGTAGGCCACATCTTGGGGAGACCGAAGAGACTACAAAATTGATTTTTATCTGCTCGTTGTGATCTTGATTATATGCCTAATCTATAATTAAGTGGCATTCCGAGTGTATACAGATTGATACGAATGGAAACGGGTTTCCGAGGGTACAGTTCGATTGAATCTTTGCCTAGTGAACTTTGATCGATGAATTGATGGTGTACGAAAGGGTTAGTCTAATGATAGATCATTTTCAATAGTGAATATTTGGCTAGTTCTAGTACGTTATTAGTCTACACACTTAGAAATACCTAATTTTACACGTGACGGAATCCATCTTTGACGTAAAGGATGAGACGTAAACAAACATGTCATGTTATGTTAAGTGCTCCGAAACTGAAAAGTTCGGTAATCGACGAAAAGTACGTTTGATTGAGCTGAATTTCGCGTCTATTATGACTCAACTTTACGTCAAAATTGACGCTCGTATATGTCAGTCTCAGAGCACCTAAATTTACATTATTTTTTCTAAGTGTGTAGGAAATCATCATACAAACTTACCGTCTCTAAAAGCCAGATGCATAACTCTGCATCATATTCAACGGTACATATGGAGAAGTAAATTAAATTTTAAGCCATATGTAGTAGAAATAATTACTTTTGTGTAAAAAATCGTTTGAAAAAGTGATGTACAGTGCGGGTTGTGCTTAAGTGGGCCTACAAATAGATCTTAACCCTATTTCTATGTGAAAGAAATAAAAATATTGGGAAATTTCCATACAACCATCATCATTGAAGTTCTGCAGGCTCAATGAAGTCTTGTACAATATCCCAAAAGTCCGTGAAGCTTACCCACTTAGGAATTATCGACAATTTCGATAATTTTTACCGAAATCTCAACAGCTGAACTGAAGAGAGCTTCTTTCAAGATATTTAACGCTCTTTACGTACGTTTTGATTCTTGATTTTTTTTTCGTAGACAAGCAGTTCCACGCCATATGCCAAATCGGAGAAACTTGACCTTCTTCGATTTGCATGATGCTTTGCATAATTGTTTTTTATTTCTGCCATTTTGGACCTTGTAAAATTTTCAAAATGGCGTCTTTGAAATTGTTTAAAAAATTTTACACTGAATCCGATAAAGGGTGTCCCACATCAAATAGCATCACGGAAAAAAAAACTCTGTAGAAAATTATCTAGTTGACTGATCCTTTTCAAACTTTCAGAAAATAAAACAAACCCCATAAGTTAACTTTTGGCATATTTATTTCATGCTTATTTTTGAAACAATTAAAATTATGAACACTTAAAACTTAAAATCGTGGAACAAATAAGAAAGCATAATAACAAATAGTTCAAAAATTTTACCAAAAGTTCTTGTTCTACGATTTTTGTCAGTTTCCAAGTTTTCATGATTTTGGACACTAAAAAAGTTTGCATTTTAGCATAACTGTTAATCATTACTTTTCCTGGGAGGGATATTAATAGCTTTAATAGCTTTGCTTCCGCTTTATGCCCACAATTTTTTTTCTTTTTTTTTCTTGATTTATTTTCCGTCGATCTTGTTTTCCGTGCTGAGCACCAATGCTACCGACGTCAGGGAGGCAGCTCCCACACCTGGACCCTACCTATCAACCCATCAACTCATAGACCGGGGACCAACGGCTTTACTTCCCTTCCGAAGGAAGGCCCGATCAGATATGTTATGCCTCAGAACAGCCCAGCAGCGCCAACTGTGATTGAACTCAGGCCTGCTGGGGTGAGAGGTAATCACGCTTACCACTACACCACCGGCACCGCTACACAATTCCTTTTCATCTTCCAATCGATTTCCCTTCAATAGCGCCAGCTGCTTGGCTTTCTCTTCAACCTTTATTCGCTCCTTCTCGGTATAGTTCCCTTCCTCAATGATTTCTACTGTTGCGCATTCTTACTATAGTGTCAACTTGATGTATAACTGTCCGTTCATATAGTTGATTGTAATGAAAATCGGAGTCTTCTGGCCACAGTTGCAGATTCCCTACCAGATCATCAGGTTACCGGCAAACTTTTCCACAACAACTTATATTGTTTCTTGTGATCATCTCTGCGACTTCTGGCAAGATAAAACTCTCCTCTCCCGGAAGCTGTTTGAAGTCCAATTTGACATACGTTTTATCGACCATACGGATGCATTCATTGAATTTGGTGTGCACCTGGCCATACAGCTTTCGGGCCCACGTTTTTGCCATAATGTTTTGCTTTACGGTTCGGTTCGGTTGCTTAATGGCCCGATACTTCAAGGATCCGTCTCTAATGTGTATATTCCGAACTATACTGTGAACAGCACCGAGTTTGATGCCCACAACAACGTCCGTATTCCTGGATTCACTTTGAAATCCTTTATGACGTTCTGATGCACTTCCTGGTCCACTGTACCGCTTCAACGCCTTGATTGCACCTTCCGGGAAACAGACAATCGTTCCTTGAAACGGTGGTTTTGTCCGTTTCCAACTCCCTTGCGCGTAGCTTGTGTGCAGAATTAATTCTCTTCTTTTTTCTTCCATCGCGGGGCAATTCAAGAAAACGTAGACTTTTTTTAATTTTTGTAAAGGATTTCAAGCAAAAGACATTGTAATCAAATTTCTGTCAAAAAATTCCGGAACCGACCACTAGGAACGCTGTAACGAACAAAAAGAAGCGTACCAATTCTACATATTAATACATCCATCTCGTCCACCTTACACCTCCACCACCATCTTACATTAGAAACACAAGTGATGAAATGCAGATAGTAGGAAATTTCCTTTTTTACGACCATATATACATCCCGTACACCTGTGTACTTGTCGATGCCCAAGTCCGGAGGGAATTTATGCTGAAAGACAAAAATGACTTTTTTTTTTCAAAAACCATAACATTT